GCGCTTGCCTTGCATGCATGAGGCCCTGGGTTCAATTCCCCAGCACCACATAAGCAAAAAGAAAAAAGCTGGAAGTGGCGCTGTGGCTCAAGTGGTAGAGCGCTAGCCTTGAGCTAAAAGAGCTGAGGGACAGCGCCCAGGCCCAGAGTTCAGGTACCACGACTGGACCCAAAAAAAAAAAAAAAAAAAAGAGTCTCACAGCTTTTCCTGCCCTGGCTGGCTTTGAATCTCGATCCTCCGATCTCAGCCTCCTAAGTAGCTAAGATTATTACAGGTGTGAGCCACTGGTGTGGGGCATAGCGTGTCAATTTCTCCTTACCCTTCTCCATATCATCTGCCCGCCTGTTCTTTCCACCCATTTTTTTTTTTTCTGGATACTTCTTCAATGCCCCTTTTGCCCTCCAGTCTGGGTTTTATATCCCAACTCCAATTTCATGTTTCTGTTATTATTCTTAGATTATAGTTAGTCTGATGCCTGTCCTTCTCTCTAGACCGCAAGCTCTAAGACTGCATTATTGGTCTTTGCCTTGCACACTATTTTATCTTTGTGCCTGACACAGGGATGCCCAATGAATAATACCTGCTAAGTTTAAACACCAACACCTCCAGTAATACAATTTATTGCATAAAAATGTTTCCTATCTATCACCGTATAATTTGTCAAGGCCAAATTTGTCCTTTTGGAAGATTGACGTGCCTTTGTATAGCTGACACCAGTGAGTTTACTCTAGGCTGCAGATGCCCTGATCATCTCTAATCTTGAGTATTTTATGTCACCGCCCAGTCAATGAAGAGGCTGTAAATGGGGAGCAGGAGAAGGAATGAGATTGTTGGCCTCCCTCCTCAACCTGTGCTTCCTTCACTCCCTATGAGCCCCCATTCCTCCCTAGAACCAGTGCCATAGCTAAGAAACCATCGCCTAAGCCAGCAAACCAAAGATTTGCTCCTGCATTGTCTTCTCAAGCTGTTGTGGACTGGGCTCTTGTATTTAACATTAAGGTCGTAAATATAATTCCAATGTGTTAAGCAGCAGGGGCACCTGTCTAGGCCTGGAAAGCGAGAGAGCGAGAGAGAAGAGAGATGGAGAATGAAGCTTATTGGCACCTTTTCTTCCGTAGTCTGAGTGTGCAGCAAATCACTGACCTGAAGGTAGTTAAGGGAGAAATAGAAGACTCAATAATTTTGCCGAGGGTTTTTTCTCTCAGAATCAAATACCTTTGATCTGACATTCCTAGCCCCTCCCTAGAATAGAACTCACCCTAATGTTCTTTCCTTTCAAGCACATGCTCTGCTCAGAATCCCGAGTTCCACCCCTGTGGTTGCCATTGGCTGGTGAGGACCAGGTGAGGGGGTCAGAGTGACTGATTCCTTGTCCCCTGCAAATGACTCATGGCAGAAACCAAGCTGAAACAAAGCCATGGTGCATACTTGGTTGCTTCTCCCCCTGGGCTAGTCTTCAAATCAGATAGGATGCCCATGAAGCATTTGCTTTTCTCTTTGTCTGCCCTTTCTCAGGAAGGGCAAGTGGAAGGTTCATTCTACTTGCCAGCCTCCAAAGAACACAGAACTGCCTTCTGCATCTCTGGATTCTACCAACTGCCAGTGGTGTGTGGTATAGCTAGGCCTAGAATGCTTGTGTCTCTATGGAGTATGTGCACACATTTTTCTTTCTGTCTTCTTTCCTTCTTTCTTTCTTTTCCTTCCTTCCTTCCTTCCTTCTTTCCTTCCTTCCTTCCTTCCTTCCTTCCTTCCTTCCTTCCTTCCTTCCTTCCTTTCTTTCTTTCTTTCTTTCTTTCTTTCTTTCTTTCTTTCTTTCTTTCTTTCTCTCCTTTCCTTCTTCCATCCTCCATTTCTTCCATTCTTTTTTCCTTCTTTCTTCCTATCTTTCCTTTCTTCCTTTCTTTCCTTCCTTCCCTTCCTCCCTTCCTTCCTGCCTCCCTTCCTTCTGCTTCTTCCTTCCCTTCCTTCCTCCCTCCCCCTCCCTCCCTTTCTTCCTTCCTTCTTTCTTTCTTGGTGTATACGGGCTTGTACTGGGGCTTGAACTCAGGGCTTCATGCTCTTGCTTTTCTTTTTTCACTCATTTGTTTCTTTAGCATTTGAGCCACTACTCCATTTCTGGCTGTTTGCTGGTTAATTGGAGAAAAGAGTTTCTCCTATATGTCTGTTCAGGCTAACTTCTTAATGCTTAGATCTCAGCCTCCTGAGTAGCTAGGATTCCAGGTTTGGCCACCAGTATACGGCCACACATTTTTCTTGTCATTATTCCCCAGAAATACTGTATAAAAATAACTTCCATAGTATTTATAGTGTTCAGCTATTACAAATAATCTAGAGTTGATATAAGGTCTACAGGAAGGGGCTGGGAAGGTGGCTCAGTGGTAGAGCGCTTGCCTTGCAAGCCTGAGGCCCTGGGTTCGATTCCTCAGCACCACATAAACAAAAAGAAAAAAGCCGGAAATGGCACTGTGGCTCAAGTAGTAGAGCACTAGCCTTGAGCTGAAGAGCTGAGGAACAGCGCCCAGGCCCAGAGTTCAGGCCCCATGACCGGACCCAAAAAAAAAAAGAAAAGAAAAGATCTACAGGAAGGTCTATAGCAAATATAGTGCTATTTAATATGAGGGTTTTTCAGTAGCCATTGAAGACACTAAGGAAAAACTATGTTTATTGCACAAGAATGTAGAGATGGAAACTAGAAAAACTGAAATGAGATTCTATAGTCCTCACCTTTATTTTGAAAGGATGAGCACATTCAACCTGTGGAAGAGGTGCAAGTATCATTTATAAAGAATTCATTGGTCAAATACTAATTTAAAAATAGCAAAAAGAGATACTCAAATATTTAAACGTCTATAAAAACTAAGGCTTCATGTCTAAACTATAAAATATTCTTTACAAAATCATTCAGAACAGGACCCTTGTATCAACACAGAATGAGAACAAGTAAATCAAAAGAGAGGAAATCAAAGTGTTCATTTCTAGAAAACACTGCATTGTTTTGATTCCTTGTGTTTACTACCCAAGTTACCACAGTTACTCTGTGAGATCGAGGTTTGCCTAGGGGGACTTTCAGGAGCACCACATACAATGGAGGTACAAGTTTTATTCTGTCTACAGACCCATGTGTGGCACCACCAACTCCATTGTAGGAGGATCTCAGTACAAGGTCAACCTCAGGCCAAAAAACAACAACAACAAAAACCCCACTAAGCTAAACTGAAAAACAAACAAACTGAAGACTCTACTTGAAGACAAGGAACTCAAGCAAGAAGGCCTGGATGTGTGGCTTAAATGGTCGAGTGCCTGCCTTGCAAAGGCTTGGCTCCTGACTTCGAACCCCAGTACCATCCTCACCTTGAATGTGTCTTATTATTGTGACTTTTCATGGCAGAAACTCTCGCTTACCACTATCTTTCTCCCCCTTATTTATAAACCCTGGAAAGTTAGTTTTCATTTATTTCACTGGTCAATGAATGCTATGTAACAGCATATTTTTCATTGTTGATTTCTCTTAGACTGAACTAAACATTAGAGCCAAATTAACATGGTCATACATTACTGTTACAGGTTTTTTTTTTCCTGATATTATTATTCACCACTGTCTTCAGAACTCTGAAATGTAGGGAATGGCCAAGTTACAAGGAAAGGCAAAGAGACATTTCACTGCAAGCTCTGCCTTCCATGGAGGGAGGAATTCCCTCAGGAAAGGAAAATTCTCTAATGTTCATAATAAAAGTAAAAGTAGAAATAGGCTGAGGGCTTGGGGGCAAAACAGAATTCAGTATGAGTATAGAGGTATAATTCTATCTTTAGTAGTAGAAATTCAAGCTATAAATTCCAGGCCCTAGACTAAAGGCTCTGGAGAAACTAGTCAGCAACACAGTGGATATCAATCGAGACTCGTATTTGGGGATTTTTTTTCTCCATGTACCTGTCAGAAACAGAGCACCCAAAAACTCCCGTAGCTCAAATCAGGGGGAAACTTTTCTTTCCTGTGATAGTTCAGAGGCAAAAACAAAAACAAGAAACCCAGACAATGACAACAATGAAAGCTCCCAAACACCACATTTAGAATGGTCAGGGAAGCCACCCAACATGATTGAGCAGGGGCCAACTTCCTTTTTCTGGATTGTTCTACCATCCCCCAAGAACCTGACCCCCTCAGCATGGCAGAAACTGGCTCCCCATACCTTGTTAGAGGACAAGCAACCTCCCTGCCCAGAACGCTTCATCCATTGGATAGTTACTCCACAGCCAGGTCTAGGCCAGCAGCCATGTGTTCTGCTGATATTCAAGCAATCTCTGCTATATCCACTAATGAACAATGCCTCCTAGTTCAATCTTACGCCTCATTCCTATCTATTTCAATTTACCCAGGCCTTTTCCAGAATGTGTGACCTGATTTGCACAAAGCAGGATAAAAAAGAAAGGTCATAAAGGAATAAAAACCTTCTAGAATACCCAGAGATAGAAAAGATACCTATGAAGGAGTTTTAGGATCAAGGGGAAGAGTGGCGCCATCAAGTGGAATATTTGGGATCTGCAGGTGGCTGACCTGGCCTTGATCTGCAGTTTCTTCTCTGGGGCTGGACTGTAAACCTTCTGTGGAGGCAATGGCTGAGGTGTGGCAGGAATGACAGACAATGCACACAGGAGTTCAGAGGATGACAGTGCTCCCCCACAGCGGGGCAAAGACAGGGATGAGGGATGAGTAGACTGCATTTAGACTGACCTCTGACCACCTGAGTGACATGCATTCATGGAACTCTGGAGTAAAGGCAGTACATTGGTTTGAACCAATGTACATTGAACCACTGCATTTTTGTAGTCCATATGTAAAGTAAAATTAGTGTATTGGCTTTATAGAGCACTAAATGACCACAAAGACAAAAGAGATTTTGACCTGTAAATTTTAATTGAAAAAAAAAGGTCACTCCGTATCCAGAAAAGCAAAACCTATCAGCCAAAAGATGATCAATAATACCATGATCTCAAAGCAGTGATCGTTTCTAGATATTTATTATGGCAGCTACTTCTCACTCAGTGACAGGAGTCTCTAAGTGGAAGTGGCCCATGTGGGATTCAAGGCGGCCCGCCATCCAGACACCTTTCCTCCCTCACAGGAAAATCATGGTGATGGCTCCAGGACTGGTTGTCTTGCCTTGTCTCTCTGTAGTTCCAGCAGCTCAATCTCCAGAGATAGTTTATATATCTCCAGGGCCATTTTCACCTCCTCTGCACTTGGGAGGCAGTGCATGAATTTTCTGCCCTCCAGCACTTGCTCACAGCCTTCAGGAACATCCTGAAAGAAATGTGGGGGAGGGGGTTGGAGAGGGGTGGGAAGGCCCTGCTGATTAGATAGAACAGTGGACTATACAATAGAGAAAAAGCAGGGTTACCAATACATTCTTCCAGCTCCATGGGACCCTGCTAAGGGGCTGAGCTTCTCCTCTTCTCAAAGGAGGAGGGGTTAGAAGGAGAGGAGGAAGAGAAGGGAGGGGAGAAAGAATAAGAAGAAGAGGAGGAAGGAGAATGGAGGAAGGAAGGAAGGAAGAAGAGGAGGAAGAGGGCTAGGGTTAGGAGGGGAGGGGCAAACAAGGGGAAGGGGAGAGAAGGATTCTCTTGGAATGACTAAATTCTGCCAAGCAGATATCATCATGCCTGGTTGAGAAAGCACTTTGAAGAAGACACCATATTTAGGGCTTGGCACCAGAGAACCACTTTGAGTCTTACCACTTACCCACTCACACCTAGGCACCCTCGGATACCAGGTTCCATTCTCTGAGCAAGAGATACTTTGGGGACCCACCATGGAGAAGCCAGAGTCACAGTGGATGGTGACACTTTCAGGTTCAACATACTGAGCCTTATTCACAGACACCTTTCCATTTTCTATCTGTGGCTTCTGACATTGAGCTATAATAGAAACATTTTTTTAGGCAATCTGCAAATCTAAGAAAGACATAAGAATTAAGCCCTTGTAGGTGAGACTTCTTGTTCTGTTTCTTACTTTCATTTTTATGACAAAAAATTAGTCAATACTTTTCTTGAGAATGACAGCTAAACATTTTATGTGATTGTCTTACTCCACTGCCACAATAATCTTAATGAGATGAGCATTGCAGTTACTCTCATTCAGGAGAACGTTTAGCTATGAAGAATGTAAGAAATTTGCCCACAGGAATAGCATGTTCCAATAACACAACAGGATGCCAGGTGCCAATGGCTCATGCATGTAATCCTAGCTGCTCAGGAGGCTGAGATCTGAAGATTGTGGTTTGAAGCTAGCCCAGGCAGCAAAATCCACGTGTGACTCATCTCCAATTAGCCACTCAAAAATGAGAAGAGGCACGGAGGCTCAAGTAGTAGAGCGCTAGCCTTGAACACAAAGAGGCTCAGGGACAGCGCCCAGGCCCTGAGTTCAACACCACCACTTTCTCGTGAGTGTTTTGCATTCTTGGTCACGGGCTGAGCAGGGGGAGGATTTACCTTTACACTCGGGGGCTGCCGGTAACCACTGCCAGTTGCCACAGGTTAGTGTTGCTGCTCCAATCAGATTGTATCCTTCTTCACATGTGTATGTAGCCTCCGTGGCGCTATAGAATCCGTGACTGAGTTTGTACACTCCATGGGCAATTTTAGGAGGAAATTGGCAATCTTGATGATAAGACAGACACGTGACAGAAGATGAGCGTGTAGAATATGTAATATACTGCATCAGAATTTATGCCGTTTGTCCTTTTTCTCTCTGCCTGTAGTAAGATTACTTGGCTAACCTCATCCATCTCTTTGGCTTGCTCTCTGGTAAGCCTCAGGCTCAGGTCTAGAAGTTCTCAATCTATACTCTTCTATAATCTGATTGGTGTTCCCCCAGAAGTCCCTAAGCTAAAGGCTTTATTCTCAGGTGGTGGGATTTTTAAAAGGTAGGGACTGGTCAGAGGTTCTTAAGTTAGTAGAATTGTGTCCTAGAAGGACATTATGTGACTCTGAGATTTTTCTCTTTTGCTCTCCACCTCAAGATGAACTGAGAAGTTTTGTACCACTTTATGCAGCTGCCAGGAGTTGCTGCTTTCGCACAGGCCCACAGAATCAGAGTCAATGGGTCATGAACCTGAACTTCTAAAGCTGTGAATCAACATAGACCTTTTCTGTTTATAAGTTGCTGATCTCAAGCATTTGTTACAGTAACCAAAAGCTGACTCATACACAAGCTGAGTGTACATCCTATATCTAGTCGGCATGCTAACTTTCTTGAGTTATTTAAAAACACCTTCTACAGTCTGCTAAGGGAAATTCAGGCATTTAAATTACACTTATGGTAGGTTATTACTTTTTCTGTGCTTTTAGGAGGTATCTTACTATAGACTTACAACAAGTTTTCTTTTATGTGAGTAACAAATGATTCAATTTTACATTGCTTGGGGACCACATCATTGGCACAAAGGCTAGATTTATACTTGAGTCAAATCATGCTGTTAGCACACCATTAATTCCATGTTCAATGCAGGTTGTTTTATATAGCCAAAGATTTCTCACCAAAATATTTCCCCATAAAATGTTGTCTACAGTTGTGTTAAAGATATTGAACATGCAATGAGGTGCTCTATCTTTCCAGTTTGCCTGATGTTGGCAAAAGAGAAATTCACAAAGACAAAAACTCTTTCTAGGAAGTGGCACTGTGGCTGAAGTTGTAGAGTGCTAACCTTGAGCACAAAAAGGTTCAAGGACAGTGACCAGGCCCTGAGTTCAAACCATAGGACCAGAAAAAAAGTTTTTCTACCCTTTCCTGCCTAAAACAAAGATATAAATTTTCACTTGCTTATCAGCTAAGAGACAGTATTAGCAGGCCAGTGGCATCTGGGAATAGACTTCAGAACTTTTTCACGGTTTCATTTTAGAAACTGTTCTTTCCTTTGAGTTGCCATTTCTCCAACATTTATGATTCTTTGTTTAAATACTATTTAATACAAAGTTCCAAGAAATTGCTTTGATTTAATTTTCTCTTACTTGGTAAGCAGAGCAAGCAGAGCTTGCTTTATTTAAAAAAAATTCTTGTTACTCTTTATGTAGGGTGTCAAACTGCAGACTTACCAGGGTTGGGTACAATTATATTTTTTCTTCCCTTCGTGTATATCTGTCAGGTCCATCCACAATCTCTGAGTCAGTCATTTCTCTACAACCAAAACTGTTCATCCAACCCCACCAAGAAAATGCTTAATGTACTGTATAAGGTTGTAGGAAATAATTTATAGGAGAAAGAAAAATGATGACTTTCTCATTGTAACAATAGTCAGGACAAAGGTGTAGAACACCTCTCTAAAAGAGAATTGCATCAGTGTCAATAAAGAAAGTGAACAAAGATATTAATAAAGAAAGAAGAAGGTGTGCCTGGTGCGGGTGGCTCACACCTGTAATCCTAGCTACTGGGGAGGCTGAGATCCAAGGATTGTAGTTTGAAGCCTGGAAAGGAAAGTCCATGAAACTCTTATGTCTAATTGACCATCAAAAAGCTGGAAATGGAGCTGTGGCTCAAGTGGTAGAATGCCAGTTTTGAGGGGAAAAAGAAAAACCACTAAGGGACAGTGCCCATACCCTGAGTTCAAACCCCAGTACTGGCACAAAAAGATAAAAATTAAAATAATAAAAGAAGAGGGAATGTCAACATACTCTGCTTGTGTCCTATGGTGGTTTAAAATGATATTAAGAGAAAAATAGATAAGAAAAACAAGAAGGTGGGGAAGAGGAAGTGAAATGTACTTCCAGAATCGTGCAAGGTATGTAAATCCCTTTATCTTATTATGAACTTTTTCTTTGTTCTTTTTTTTCTGTATTTGTTGGTTTGGGTTTTTTTTAAAAAAGTTCTTACTGTGATCACATGATGGTATTCGAGGCTGCCATGTGCCATCTGCTTGGCATGTTGCTGAAACCATTTTCCCCCCATTACATGTATATGACACGACATCTTCATAGAAGTAAGTACAGCCTGTGTCAAGGTGAGTTTCTGTATGATTAATGGTTTTCACATTTTTCAGAGGTGGTACTGGACAACATATCTCTAAAAAATGAAATAATAAGGTTAAGGCTCATGTAGCTAACAATATCACTTCTACTTCCGTAGGACCTCACCTCTGAAGTGAACTTGGGCAAACAAAACAGGAGTATGGAGGAATCTGTGCTCTCTGATTGCTAAAGAATTTTAATCTAGTCACCTGCCCTCCCCAGCTAAGTATTCTCATTGAGCTTCCAAATGAGAAACTGTAAAAAACCTGTGTTGACATGTACATTTTTATCATAATTCAAGAATAATAATAAATACCATCCAGTTATTTATGATTTCACTGGAGTTGCATCATAACTGAATTCTCTCTTAATTTACACTTCTCTTATCATAGGAAGGAGAAAGTTATCAACAGTTTATAGCTACCTGATGATTAATACATAGGAATAAACTTAAATTATTGTTTATGGCCAAAACTTTTCTTTCTTGAGGCAAAATTCAAAGAGCAATAGCTATTTGATTTCTTTCATTTTAAAACCAATTAGAGCTGATATAGGGACACCATTTTTTTATTAACAGATGGAAATGTTTTCAGGTGAAATTGGAAGGCTAGGCTCTGGTAGCTAATCTGTGCTACTCGGGAAGCTGAGATCTAAGGATCCTGGCTGGAAGCCAGCTCAGAACACAAAAGTCCAAGAGTCTCATCTCAACCAGTAAAAAGTCAGAAATGAAGGTGTGGCTCAAGTGATAAGAGCACCAGCCAGGAGTGAAAAGGTTAAGAGAGAATGTGAGGCTCTCAGATCAAGCTCCACTACCAGAATATACAACAAGAAAAAAGAAAAAGTAGAACTTGATCCTGCCTGACGTAAGACAACAAAACATCACAACAGAATAAATTACTCTATGCTCTATGCAAGAAATGTAACTATCACTATGATGTAGTTTTATAGGTATGCTCCAACACTCATTTGTTTATGAAACATCCAGCATTCATACGATTTTCACATTGTAACCTTTTATGAAATGCTTCGCAGTATAGAGGACACTACTAAATATATGTCATAAGTATAAATTCATACTTAATCAGATTTTACATTGTGAATAAATACCATTTTACTTCTGCTAAAATGTCCTATATTAAATAATTAAATCAATAAGACTATTGTAAGTAAAACAAATAAAACTATGTTTTTAATTATCTACAAGTAATACTTGTCTACATGAGAGGTGATAAGTTTTGCCTAAAAATATATTCCTTTATTAAAAATCAAGTAGATTTGTGTCTCTTAGAAAAGTAGAATAAGTCTTAATAGCTTCAATTAAACTTTGTTTTTATTCTAATAAGAAAGAAGTAATGTGGTAGGTAAATCTAGACTACTGCTTTTCATTATTTGTGTTCATTTCACACATTTTTCAAATTCTACTCTATGGCATGAAGTTCCATGTAGTCTGAATCTCCAGGTACTCAACTCTGGAATGGTAAGGTTCTGTTTGGTGAGTAGAAGGAGACATTTACTCCTTTTTATGGTCCAATTCCAGTGAGGCCCATAAAGTAACACCCACCTCTCAGAAAATCTAGAGACAACTTCCTTTCCATACTCCTGAGTTAAGACCACTACGTGAGAAGTCCAGATCTGTTTACTGAAAACAGCTGATGAGATCCCGTTTTTTGACCTTGCTTTCTCATGGTGGTTTAGGCTGGCCGAATACATCACTGTCTTGCCAACTTTCCTTCTGTCCATCGCCACAAAGATTACATTTGCGAAGGGAAAAACTGTGAGGGAAGTCCATTTTGACAGTAGTTGAGCTGTCCCAGTAAAGAAGCTAATATTTAACATGAATAGTGTTTAACACTTGTGACTATTCCTCATTTGATTCTGAGCTGGGCTAAGGAAAGCTTTTAATTGAGCATCTCAAATTCTAAGACTTTTTATGATCACTTTTGGAAAAATGCAGTTAATGATTTGAAATTATGTATTCTAAATTGGTCTAAATTGTGGAATAAAATTACATTTAAAAGTACAGAATTCTACCACTTACTAGGTATTCAATATACAAAAACATTTGGAAAACATAAACTTACTTTTACACCCATTGAATGGACTCCACTTGAAATTTTTCTGACAAACCACAGTCATCGGCTCATTTCCAGCAGGTTTATAGCCAAAATTGCACCGATAAGTTAATCTAGTCCCAACCTGATGTATATTATCTTCTCTAAGTTTATAATACTCTATCCAGGAAGCACGTGGAATGTCTGGTAGGCCTAAGCAACTATCTGTTCATAAAGCAAGAACAAAAGAAAAAGAAATTGTTATTATGGCTGCTCCAGTGCTTGACAAACCTGCCCTATCAAAATCTATCTTGTGCCTAGTCAGGAACTAGCTTACAATGTTTCACACTTCAACCATACCAGAAAACAACTATGAACATCTAAGTGTGCCTACCCTCAGAGAGATTCTTATGGATGGAACTACTCAGTGGTTTCTGTATGCTAGGCCAACATACTTATTAAGTCTGATTACTTTGTTTTTAAAAAATATTATAAAGGTGATGTACAGAGTGATTACAATTACATAAGTGATGTGTATATTTCTTTTTAAACAATGTTATCCTCTCCCTCATTTTCTTCTATTTCCACCCCCAACTCCCTGCCTCCTCAAGTTGTAAAGTTCATTTCCAGCATACTGTCTAGTGAGTGTCACTGTTGCATTGGTTCATCCTTTTTCCCACCATGTCTGTGATTCCCCTTCCTTTCCCCAGATCGATAAACTTATATACAAGACAAAGGGTACAGAAATCAAAAGCAGTGACAACATGGAATAAACCAAAGGAAAAAGAAAGAAAGAAAAAAAATAATTTCAAAGAGTACACTAAGAAAAAAATCTCTTGTTTCCATTTCTTGTACTTCATGTCAATAAATATTATTTTATATGATCATATGTACATAGCTATTAAGCTATTGTGATCCTCTAAGACTATCCTAGACATATTCTAGTTATTACAAATGAGGGAAATCATGCAGCCTATGTTTGTTTTGCTTAATATAATTTTTTCAAGTCTTTCCATTCCCTTACAAATGGGGCAATGCCATTCTTTCTGATGGAAGCATAGAATTCCATTGTGTACATATGCCACATTTGTGTACATATACCACATTTTCTTGATCCATTCATCTACTGAGGAGCATCTGGGTTGATTCTATATCTTATCTATGGTGAATAATGCTGCAATGAACCTGCTTGTGCTGGTAAATTTAGTACTGCAATGAACCTGCTTGTGCTGGTAACTTTAGTGTGGCCTTGCTTGTGATTACTCGTCATTCACTTCAGAAAGAGTACTTTCTGAATGGAAGCATTAGGTTTGCTAAGTAAACATGGCAACAAAACTCTGAGAGACAACCACATCTAACCTTTGTTTTTTGACTGACTAGGGAATGAAAGCCAGAACTCTGCTTACCCAGACAACACCAGGAACAGGAAAGGGCTTTGCAAGGACAGACCAAGCTCTAAGAATTGTTTTCTTTTTGAGTCTGGATTTGAGAGTCCTATTTTCTTACTGTTCCTGACTTTGCTTAGTCATAAGCTATGGAAATAGAATACAAATACTCTACTGAGTTGGATGTTTATGCCATTTTACCTTCAAACATTTGAAATGAGATGTGGAGTACGATTTTTTTAGAAAGAATAATTCAAAGGTTTTTTTGTTAAGTATACTCATAGAATTTTGTGGCCATCACAGTTAACTGGTTTTTTTTCATGTCAATGAGAAATCTCATTTTTATGAGCAGTTATTCTCAATTCTCACTTCCCATAGGTTTTAGAAACCATGAGTAAACTCTATCAATTCCCCTATTCTGAACATTTCACATAAATGAGATCCTAAGGTAATAGTATTTCTGTGCCTGTCTCCTTTAACTTGCTGTTTGGTTTGTCAAGGTTCATTCCTATTGTTTCACATATCAGTACTTCAATTTTATTGCCAGATTGTGTTCCATTGTATGATATGTCTCTTTCAATGTATCTGTTATTCAGTTGTTGGACATTTTGGTTGCTTCATTTTATGTATAGGACTACTCTTGACCTCCATGTGTGAACATCTGTTTTCATTTCATAATGGTGACTTCTGGATCATAAGGTAGCTGTGTGCCTATTACTTTCCAAAATGATTGTACCTATTTATATTCCCTGTGTAGTGTATGAGAACTCTAAATTTTCCTACAAATGTTGATGAGAATGTCTAAACTTCATAGTCATTCTAGTGGTCATAAAGAGGTATCTCCTTGTGACTAGAAGATCATCCTTATAAGGGATATACACACAAGTTATTTAGGCTGAAAGAAGTAATACTGGACAGTAATCTAAACCCCCAAAGGAAAACTACAAGCACTTAAAGAGGTACTTTTGTAGGTAATTAAAATACAACCCTTTGTATCCATGGAATACATGCCATGGATAATAATTATTATATTACAATATAATAATATAATATAATATAACATATATAATAATAATTATATATATGCCAAACTCAGCAGATGCTTGTCTCGAATATCAAATGACAGAGTATTTCCCTATAGCCAACCTACATCATCTTATAGACTTCAAATCACTGCTTGATTACTAAGGTATCTGACACAATGAAAATACCATGTTGGCACCTATGGTACTGTATGTATCACTTATGGAATAATGGCAGAAATGTCTATACATGTACACTACTATAGTCAAAAATACTAGGCACCTGTGGTTTCCTCCCCTTATCAGTTTTATGATCAAAGGGCTAATCACTTAACATCTTTGAACAATTTCCTCATCTACAAAATGATGACAATGATAGACAATTGTTGAAGGTGTTCATTGACCCAATTGTTTTTTTTTTTTTTTGGTCGGTCATGGGGCTTGAACTCTGGGCCTAGGCACTGTCCCTCAGCTCTTCAGCTCAAGACAAGCACTCTACCACTTGAGCTACAATGCCACTTCCAGTTTTCTGGTGGTTTATTAGAGACAGGAGTCTCACAGTCTTTTCTGCCTGGGCTGGCTTTGAACTGCGATCCTCAGATCTCAGCCTCCTGAGTGGCTAGGATTACAGGCGTGAGCCACCAGCGCCCGGCTTGACCCAATTCTTATATACTAAGTGCAGTTTCATTTTGATGATTACTTTTATCAGTATTTTCATGTTATACAAGGTCATAATTTTAGAGTTAGAATCATAACTAGTCCATAGAATGCTTTCATACAGGTTAGGGAAAAAGGCATGTTTTCCCTCAAGATACCTTAGCTTTTAAAATAATAATTATATCCAGGCACTGGTGACTCATGCCTATAATCCTAAAGTACTCAAGAGGCTGAGATATGAGGATCATGGTTCAAATCCAGCCCAGGCAGGAAAGGCTACGAGACTCTTATCTCCAATTAAATACCTAAAAACCAGAAGTGGAGCTATGTATGGCTGCAAATGGTAGAGCACTAGCTTTGAGCAAAAGAGCTCAGGGACAGTGCCCAGATCCTGAGTTCAAGCCCCATAACTGACTATATATATATCCATATATATATATATATATGTGTGTGTGTGTGTGTGTGTGTATAATATTATTATATTTATTTGTTTCTGTTATATTTATGTATTACGTATTATATTATTTAATATTATTTTTCAAGCCCATAACTGGCTATCTATAAATATATATATACAAAATATTATTATATTCATATTATATTCATTTTATGTTGTTATATTTGTTTATTATATGTTATATTTAATTTTTTTTCAGAAGATAGTTTTCTATCAACTATTAAAGACTTGTTGAAATAAGCATGTCTGTAATATAAATGCATTCCCTTCAGACTTGAGTGTACACAACCTGCACAACTATATACAGCAACCTCTTGTAGTGACAGAGAGCCCACAGTTACGGTTCTGGGGACCTCCAGATGTCCAACACTATGATACCTTCATGGCTTTTACTTACTGGGCGTACAGATGGGAGGAGAAGGATTCCACTTGCCATCAGCTTGACAATGTATTATACTGTCGCCTCTGAGGGTAAAACCTTTCTGGCAGGTGAACAAAATAGAGCGTTTGTAAGAATAAACGGGTGCAAATCCAGAGACAATCTTTCCATGTGGAACATCTGGCTGAGGACAGCTGATCTCTAAAGAGCCATGAGAAAAGACACCGGGATTTTTAGAAGACAAGCAACAGTAAGGATATTACTGCCACTAATACAGTTGCCAATACAAGGACATGTCATGTAGCTGCCAGATAAATAGTTTTAAATGTTAGAAAGCTGGATGCTGGTGGCTCATGCCTATTGTCCTTGCTTACTCAGAAGGCTGAGATCTGAGGTTTGTGATTTGAAGCCAGTCCAGGCAGGGAAAATCTGTGAGACACTTATCTCCAATTAAGCACAGAAAAAGCTGGAAGTAACACTGTAGCTCAAATGGTAGAGTGTTAGCCTTGAGCAAAAGGAGCTTAGGGACAGCACCAAGGTCCAGAGATCAAGGCCCAGGACCAGCAAAGAAAAAAAAAAAGTCTAAATAGCAGCTTCTCAAAAACTCAATAAAATGCGGTTTCATCATTTTGTCCTTCTATAAGATGAGCATTGTTCACTTCTTCAACTTATTCACCAATAAGGTCTAGTGATATATAACTCAGAAAAAAACATCTATATCTCCAAAGTCCATCACATTTCCAGTATAACATTTCCTAGCTGGTTTTGGTTGTGGGTCAGTGGCCCACGGTAAGGATATTATGGTCACAAAGAGGCAGCCAAAGCATCCGAGACCCACTCTCCCATAGATCAATCACTAGAACCCTTAAACTCCTCCCCAGGTCATTTCTCTGGCTACCGTCGGCTGGATGGTTGCAGTAGAGGTTATCTTCGTTCATTTTTGCTGCTATAACAAAATGCCTTTTACTTATTGGTACTCAATAGAAATTTATTTTCTCACAGTTCTGGAAGCTGGGAAATCCAAGAACAAGGCATCAGCAGGTTTGGTGTCTAGTAACTGCTTTGTTCTAAGAAAGTGCTTCTACATTAGATCCTCATGGAGGAAGGGATGAAGACTGTATTCCCATGGCAAAGGGGTCAAAAGGAGCAGGTCTCTTCTTTCAACTTCTTTTGAAAAGAGTACTGGTATCATTCAAGATGACAGAGTTCTTGGGAATGATTCATTTCCTGAAGACCCATCTCTAGGCGGCACATTGGCTCTAGGTTCCAGTATGAATTCAGAGGGACACATTCAAATCATACCAGGGACTTATGTACCACACACTGTACCTGCTGTAGAAAGGCCAGGAGTTCCCATGGTAAAAGGGAGCATATTTACTCTCCCCAGTAGTGTCTCAGTAGTGTCTCCCTTTCCTCTTCCTTCTGAACTCCTCCTAAGAGTGACCACAAGGTCCTTTACAAGACCTCTGCCAATTCGTCCAGCTTCCGTTTTGCCTTTTCTACCTCTTGTCATCTCGACTTGGCATCTGAGTTTGTTTGAAGTGTCATGCTTGCTTGTCCCCTGGTTTGATCACATCCTGCAGTGACTCACAGAACTGAGACATTCATTGCACAAGCACGCAGGAACAAAGGGAAGATGCCTTTGGTTAGCAAGCTAATAATATCATGGCAAATCTTCCCATTCTATTTATTATTGACTTTGCCTTGTCGATCTTCTGTTCTTTAGTGGGTTTTGTTTGCCTTAAACAGATACACATTTCCTGGTCCTGGCCTACACAGTTCTAGTTCTAGACAAAGTCTGTGATCACTTTCCAAGCTCTTAATAGCCAGAATACATATTGATATGGGAAGCCACAAGACCAAAGCAGCTTGGGCTGAGCTGATTACTAAGCACACACAGTTCAGCAGTCTTTCTCTCCTGGAGAGTCTCCAGGACCTGTAGTAGTCTTCACATAAATGAAGAACTTTTCCTCCACTGAGCCAGTTGGATAATGATGCTGCTTGTGACCCTATTCCAATACCATAAAGATCTCCTGGTCCAGCAGGGCAGCAATGGCTCATGCCTGTAATCCTAGCTATCCAGGAGGATGAGATCTGAGGATCACAGTTCAAAGCCAGCCCAAGCAGGAAAGTCTGTGAGACTCTTTTCTCCTATTAACTACCAGAAAACCAGAAGTGGCACTGTGGCTGAAGAGCTGAAGAGCTCAGGGACCACACCCAGGCCCAGAGTTCTAGCCTACAACCGACTGGAAAAAAAAAATCTACTGATCCAATAAATAGCTTCTTTAATGCAATCATTACTTTGTCTTTGAATTGTTCTTGTTCCCCATCTTTTAAACGAAAAGAGAATTATTTAAGGCAAAATTCATCACTGTGACTTACTTTTACAGGTAGGAGGGTCCGGGCTCCAGATACCTATAGTTTTATTCACCACGGAGCAGGAAATGGAGGCATTGCCTATGAGTGAGAAGTTGGGGTCACAGCTGTAGGTGACTGAGGAGCCATAGGTGAAGACATCTTCATCTCCACCATTGTGCTTCCCGTTGCTGATGACCGGAGGAGGCTCGCATATGACACCTGAGAGGTGCGAGCGAAAGAGAAGGACATACTCAGAGAGAGCATTGTTACAAATGTAAAATGCCTGCACATCCCTAGAAGAGGGGTCGAATAGTACTAACGCATGCCATTGATAGTCACCAAGAGCAACAGTGTAAGTTTATAGCCAAGTCAGGGAAAGTCTTCACTTACTTACACATACAGGGAGAGGATCGCTCCAGCCAACTCCTCTATCTTGGATCTCACAGAAACTTGTCGCTGGGCCAGTTAACATGTATCTGGGTAAGAAAAGATGGAAGATTTTAATGGAATTCTTCTTTCCTTCTAAGAAACTCAATAAAGGGAGCCTAAAAATGGAATTGTTCATAGTAAAATGGAGAAGTAATTATCCAGTTCTATTGCTTCCCATTGAACACAACCATTGAGTAAAATTTCATCATGACAGTCATGCAATGTCTGGACTTGGCTCAGTTCTTGAATCTAAGCTTGGGTATCTGTTGGGTGTCAGGCTTGATGAATGTGTTCTTCAGTTTTCTCTGAATAAAAGTGCTCGGGTAGATTACTGACCCCAGAGTCTCCTGACCTGTAGCCCATGGCCGCCTCCTCCTTGAAGATGCCTAGCTTTCTTCACAACATTAACTCCCTGTTTTCCATCCCTCCTTTGTCATGGCTCTTGTCAAGTCCTAGGTTTTCCTCAGCTGACTTCCCTCATATCTGCTTATCATAGAAAGGAAAGGCCTTGCTTTCCCATCATAGCAGCCTTTAGTGAGAGAGAACTTGGTGGGGGAGGGGATATCATCTTTAGCAAAAAGCTTTTGGAAATGTATTGAATAATCATTTAAAGGAAGCTGTATCCTTTGTAAGGTCAAATAAAACTAGAATTAGCCATTTCTTTACTTTGAATTTGCTTTAAAAGGCAGTTTTTCCATGAAAAAATAAAGTAGTGATACTGGTTATTTCAATAGGAAGAACTCATGTGTCTCAGCAGCACCTTGGGTCTGAATCTCCTCACTTTCCATCTTGAGAGCCATATAGTAGGAAAACATGACACAAAATGAAAAATCAAAACAAAACTGCAACAGAAAAGTAATTAGAGAAAAACAGCAGATATAAATGACAAAGGAAAATTGCTTTCTGAAGAACAGAATAGTTATATTAAAATGTATTTCAATATGCATACTACAATTGCACATCAAAGAGCTGCAAGACATTAGACCAAATGGTCTAATCCTCATGCCATTTAATAAATAAAAGTACATAGCATATAAAAAGTGATAAAAATATATAGTATTGAATGAACATAGTATAAAATTAGAGTGTGATAAACAATGGCATCCAAATGTGGTTCAAGACTGGAAACACACAGGGATCAATCAAATGGATTTTTTGGGGGGGGGTCCGGTCGTGGGGCCTGAACTCTGGGCCTGGGTGCTGTCCCTCAGCTCTTCAGCTCAAGGCTAGCGCCCTACCACTTGCGCCACAGCACCACTTCCTGCTTTTTTCTTTTTGCTTATGTGGTGCTGAGGAATCGAACCCAGGGCCTCAGGAATGCAAGGCAAGTGCTCTACCACTGAGCCACCTTCCCAGTTCCTCAAATGGATTTTTAAAGTCATAATACCACGATAAAATAAAATTCTATGCAATTATAAAATGAAATTAATGAGCAATCCATATACAAACATAAAATCTCACTTGTGTATATCTATGAGTAGAAAGGCAAAGAGAATCAAAACCACATTTGTCCAGTGAGACATTTAAGAAAAGTTTTTTAAAAAGCTACATTTGCTTTTGGAAAGAGAAGCCTTAAGGATATACACTAATTTCTAGCCCATACAAGAAAATACCAGAAAGGTACATAAGAAACCAATATAAACTCAGTGCCAGTAGCTCACACCTGTAATCCTAGCTACTCAGAGCATTGAGATCTGAGGATTAAGGTTTGAAGCCAGTCTGGCAGAAAAGTCCATGTGAGACTCTTACCTTCAGTTATCTACTCAGAAAGCAGAAGTGGCACTGCGGCTCAAGTTGTAGAGTTCTAGCATTGAGCAAAAGAGCTTGGGAACAGCACCCAGGACCTGAGTTCAAGCCTCATGACCAACAAAAAAAAAAAAAGAAAGAAAGAAAAGAAAAGAATATTTTTGTAGAGGACCGGGAAGAACAAGGTGTATTGGAGACCAGTTGGAAGTGAAAAGCCTCGATGTATACCTTCTTTTATCACTTTAAATTTTGAACTACATACACATTAACACATTTTTAATTAAAAGTTTTGTTTCTCCATTACTTCACACTCACACTCACCCTTCTGAACAGCTAAAATGTATTTGTGATCCAAAAGAGAAGTCTGTCTTGATTTCTATTTGGCCATTAGGCAAATCTCCTGGATTTTGGCACCGTTTCTCTAGAAGCAAAATGTAAATGATTAGTGAATCCAAGCTGGGCACTGGTGGCTCAGCCTATATTCCTAGCTAATCAGGAGGCTGATATCTGAGCATCCCAATTCAATGCTAGCTCAGGCAGAAAAGTTTATTTACCCAATTAACCACCAAAAAATGTTGGAAGTGAAGCTGTGGTTCAAGCCAGCACTTAGCAAAAAAAAAAGCTGAGTGACAGAATCCAGGCTCTGAGTCCAAGCCTCAGCATGCACGCGTGGTTTTACACACACACACACACACACACACACACACACACACACACACACACGCGCGCGCGCGCGCGCGCGCGCGCGCGCACAGGAAAAAAAAGGATGAACAACCGATGGATCTAATTCTGGTTTTGCTTCCAGAAACACCCAGATTTAAGATTCACATTTATTTGTTCTTATTTATTTACTTACTTATTTAGGTTTCCTACAGGCGGCCTTAAACTCATTATGTAACTCTGGCTGGACTCAAATTCATGATCCTACCACTTGCATCTCCTGAGTGATAATAGTACAGGCATGTGCAACAGAGCACAGGTCTAGATTCACTTTTATGACTGATCCCCATTAGCTGAATTTATATTTTATAGGAAAAAAATTGATGTAAAGCCTGATCTTGGTTTTTTTTTTCTGGTACATTTTATCAAAGGTCACATCCTTGTATATAAGAGATACAAAAGAAAAAAAGTATAGATTGTATGTTTTTACTGTTAGAAAACATCAGGAATTGCACTCTTGGGAGTGACTCACCTTCCCCCAAACCCAGTGGTCATTTTGGGCAAGATGACTTTGGCAGCCATATTGCTACAGTGTATCCCCTGAAACTTTTATAATTCCTTACAGGCATATCTAGTTTCCAATATAGCGAAATGAGATTAGTGATTCATTGCTTGAAGTTTGGTGAAGTACTTTACAGAACAGATTTCTTCCATACAATCAGCTAACTCTTAATTTGCTGTTCTATTTTATTTTGTTCTGTTTTTTTTTTTTCTTCAAAAATGTCACATGTGTGTGGGCTCAAATCAGTAGCTGAACCAACTGGAGGGTTTCTTAGTAACTACAGGTTCATGAGGTTTTGATCCTCAGACCACAACTGGAAGTTTATCACAACACAAGTGAACAGAGTAATCACTGGTACTTACTGACACAGAATTCACCGTATTTCCACGTGTTGTCCCTGCTGCAGACAAGATTCAAATTTGAGCTGGTCTTACTGTAGCCAAGCCGGCAAGTGTATTTCAGAATAGTTCCCGTGTCGAAGTCTTCCTGATCTATCTCCTTTACTGGTAAGGCAAAGTCTAAATAGGGTGGGGGTCCACAATTTCCTAGAAACCAAAATGACAAGGGACACCAAACATCACATCTTGGGATGTAGCAACTTAATATTTCATAGTAGAATTTTAGAGAAAGGACTATTCTTTTCTCCTTAAAAAAAAAAAAACAACTCTTGGAGTCTTTAATTCCAAGGAAATTTTTCTCTTCTTCTATTTTTTTCCTTCTTTAAACCTGTTAGAGTAAAAATCATAACTCTTCTCTCCTCTCCATTCTGCTGAGTGATCAGTAAATATGTCTGGTGATAAATGATAATAATAAAAGCCACAAGTAATAAAGGCACAGGATGACAGATAAGAACTTCATCAGCATGTCAGGTTCCCCACCTCTGCTGACTTGCGTGGGTCTATGTGAAGCCAGAAATCCCCACCAGTCTGTCTGGACAGAAACACATTATTTCATTAAGTATTACATTACAAACCAGGTATGGTGACTCATGCTTGTAATCCCAGCACTCAGGAGGCTTAGGGTAGAAAGATCACAAGTTCAAAATTAGCCTTAACTACATAATAAGTTCCAGGCTAACCTAGGCTACAAGCAAGATTTTCTCAAAAATAAAAATGTAGTATTGCTGGGTGCCAGTGGCTCATGCTTATAATCCTAGCTACTCAGGAGGCTGAGATCTGAGGATGGTGGTTCAAAGCCAACCCACGCAGGAAAAATCCGTGAGACTCTTATCTCCAAATAACCACCAGAAAACTGGAAGTGGCCCTGAGGCTCAAGTAGTAGAGCACTAGCCTTGAACTGAACAGCTCAGGGACAGTGCCCAGGCCCGGAGTTCAAGCCCCACAACTGACAAGAAGACAAAAAAAGGTAGTATTATTATGTGATGTTGATTGCCTCAAGGAAGGAATACTTAGGAATATGGGAGATGGGTTATTTTGTACCTGTTTTATTTTTATTATTTTTATTATTTTAACGTATTTATTATTTTTATGCCAGTACTGGGGCTCACACTCAGGGTCTAGCATTCTTGCCCAGCATTTCCACACTCTACCGCGTGAGCTACAGCTCTACTTCTACTTTTGCTGGATTGTAAGAAGTAAGAGTCCCTTGGATTTGTCTGCCTAAGCTGGTTTTGAACATCAGTCTTCAGATCTTAGCCTCCTGAGTAGCTAGGATTATAGGTCTGAGACACCCAATTAGTGGCTGAATAATATTGTGTAAGTGTTTTACATTTTTATGAATTTAGATGATCAGGAAGAAAAGCATAGAGTCCTTGGACCACAAAGAATTTAATCCTGACTTTCTTTAAGAAATTAATCACAATGATGAAGATGCATGGTACACAATTCCAGGCCTGATCTACCTGTTCAGAACACAGCTAGAAGTGTGTAGTTCTCCATTCTGGATAACTGTACAGGCAGTGAAAACTGCTCAGTCAGACTGATGGATAATATAAATTTGTCTCAAGTCACACATGGGAGACAGGTTGCTTTGGAAACTTCTAGAGAAGAAACTCGAATGTCTAGAGTGTCTAGAATGTTTAGCAAATTGCCTTCTTTGTGAGCAAAGCAAACGTGCCTGTACATTCCAGTTAGACAAAAGCCTTTTGTTGCTAAAAATGGATTCCTGCTAATGTAACAACTCTTTTTCAGTCTTGTAAGTATGGAAGATTGGAACGGCTGGCTCACCAAGAACAGTAGCCAACAGTGTGGCCGCCAAGGTGATTCGGAACAGACTTGGATCAGAGACACTGCTCAACTTAGGTAAGGCCCAAACTGCCATCTCCCTCTTTCCGTGGTAGGTCCCATTTCCAGCTCTTGATGGACACATGACCTGCTGCTGCTTCTCTAAAGAGAGAAAAAAATAACTCAAGTTTACGTTATAAAATACTGGGATATATGCAACGGGATCCACGTCTTCAAGAGACACAGCCTGGTTCAGTAGAAAAGACATGAGCACAAATGTTACAACAGAAGACAGTGGGGACCAGCCTCTGCAGAAACCTCCTGCTCAGAAGAGAGACTAATTCCATGTGAAGAAAGGAAATGAGCTTTGGGAGGGGGGAGGGAGAAGGTGGGGAGATGGGAGGAGAGGATGGTAGGGAAAAAACAAAGGAGCGGGTAACAATGCTTGATAGGAAATGTACTCATCACCTTACTCATGTAACTATAACCCCTCTGTACAGTATCTTTACAAATATATATGTATATATACATATATGTATATATATATATATACAGATACATATGTATACAAATATACATATGTACACAAATATATGTGTATATATGCACATATATTTGTGTATATATGTATATACATATAAAGAAAATGAGCTTTATGCAAGTGGCTATAGTAGCAGCTCTGGAATCAGATAGAGTCTCCTATGTTCCTCTTCCACAGTCCAAGTTTCAGTCTAGGGTCTCAGAATTCCCTCCACCCCACCTTACACCCCTGCGAAACCTCCCAACTGTTTGTAGCCGACAGTGTTATTGACACTATATCCCTACAAAGCAACTCGTACTATGTCACTCTGCTGAAAATGTACCTGGTCCTCTATTCCATAAGTTCCCATTCTTCTCTCAACTCACCACCTCTTCCCCCTTTTCACAAGTAGAACGTGCTTCAACTCAGAAACCTAGCCATCTTTCCTTTAAAAAAAATCTTGGATTCTTCTAAAACATCTGTAAGCATTTGCATATAACGACTCTTGTATAGTCCAAACTCTCTTTTATTCACTCTCCATATTTCAAATGTCACTCCTCAGGGGAAAATGGCCTAAGTCAGTATCTACTGTGTTACTCGAATACTTTTCCTGATATCTTAATACCACATTGTGGAGCCAGAGGTTTGGCTCAAGTAGGAGAATGCCGCCTGCCTAGCAAGCACATGGACTGCCAGAAACGAAAATAAACCAACAAAGCTCACAGTATGTTGTAAGTGTCTTCTGGTGCCTTGGGAAATACTGTGGATTCATTGAGAGCAAATGAAGGTGTTGACTCCAGTTCCTTTCTCTAACCTGGTCTATAATGTTTACCCAATAAATGCAAAACGAATAAAAATCCAATTTGTTTTTGTCTTCCAAGTATGACTAGTCAACTGCCTCTCTAAGGATGGAAGGAAATGCACATGAAGTGCCTTGGTCCCCATTAACTCTTGGGGCATCCCTTGGCTTGCGTCTTCAGTTGCAATCTGGATTGCTAGGAACAGGCACAGAGCTCAGCCAGCCACGGGGTCTGGGGACGGAGGGGAGGACTTGCAAGTAGAAGAGACCTAAGTCCCCATACTCTCAACTCTAATCTTGAAGAAGCTACATCTGCTTCTTGCTACTCAAATTTCCTTATCTCTAAAATGATTGCATTTGACCTAGCTGATCTACTCTGTTCCTTGCAAACTCAGCAATTCTTTATCTTTCCACTGAAAAGCTGAGGTGACTCTAGCAAATACCTTTGCATTTTAATGACATCATCATCGTCTAATTTCTAGAGAAATGAAGCTGAATCATGAAGCCCAGGTCATCTTGCTATCCTGGATTATGTCCTGTGAAAAACACCATCAGCACTTGCAGGTGAAGTACAGTCTAAGATATGGGGGGAGACCCTTCAGACCCCCCATTTCTCCCTCCATTACAGATTAGTTTTTCTTGGGGGAAGGGAAGATTACAAAGTGGTGCATTTCACTGATACAAACTGGTCTTTGAGCATCCTTTGTGAAAGCAATTTTAGTGTCCAAATTCACAGAGTACCCTGGGGGTACTCTCCTTTCCCTTTCCTCCCCCTTAGGACTTTGTAGAGATTATTTTTTGAGTAACTGAATTTTCTAAATTCCCCCTTGTAAAATTCAGATAATCTCTGAAAAGGAATTATCTCTAGCGTCAGTGCCACTTCCTTTACACCTGGACTCTTGGTTATATCACTTATAAACACTGGAAAGGCTTCTATTCTTTGAGTCTTTTTCTCTCTTTACCCCCCCCCCCCACGCTCACTTTCAGCCCTTTCCTTCAATGTTCACATTATGTTTACATGTATCCCCAAGCCTACTACAAATCTTATTTGATGCTTTTGTTTCTTCCGTGTACTCTTGTTTTTCATTCTCTCCATACTATCATATTTGGGGACAGAGTAAAAATCAGCAAGAAGACAATTAAAAATGAGGGCCAGAAAAGAGTCCTGGACCACTAAGGAAGAAGAGAATTTTAAGAAGGAAGGATTATAGATGTCACCAAACTTGGAAAGTAAGAGGCAGAAAAGAAGTGAGTGTGACTAAGATGGGTAGCTTTGGAGACTAACCGAAAGCTGATACGTATCTTCTCATTTCTCAACAATAGAGAACTGGAAGAGTTAACAAACTCTCTCAAGGAAAATATACCTGCTTGCAGAATAGACCTTGAAAACCAGTTCTCTGTGATTCCCTTTGGGAAGCCTGGCTTACCTCTTGCCTCACTTCCCTATGTTGGGGGATCGGTGAAGGACCAACAGAGCAAGTCACTTGCAATAACAAGATCAATACCCAGGGCTGGGAAGGTGGCTCAGTGGTAGAGCACTTGCCTTACATGCATGAGGCCCTGGGTTCGATTCCTCAGCACCCTATAAGCAGAAAAAGCTGGAAGTGGTGCTGTGGCTCAAGTGGTAGAGCTCTAGCCTTGAGCTGAAGAGCTGAGGGACAGTGCCCAGGCCCAGAGTTCAGGCCCCATGACCAGCAAAAAAAAAAAAAAAAAATCAATACCAAGTGTAACTTCTTTTATGCTTTATCTGATTCATAAACATTTGTTCCCCATTTATAATAAACATTTGAGACTCTTAAAAGGTTAAAAATACTTTTTTCCCCAAATCACACAATTCCCACTCCCTTCATGCAACACTCCAATAAAGGTTTTTGCTGAAAACATTACGGTCTTGTCTTTCTAGCCTTGAATTCTCTAAGCAGACAAGCCATCAGCTCTTTCCCCAAGTGCCCCGCAGCCCACTGACCTGCAAAAGCAGAGGAAGGCTGGCCCTGCAATGGTGCCTTGAGCTCTCCTGTCCTGGTTCCTCTGAGATCATGGCGTATCATAATATTCTGTTGTTAGCTAGTAGCCGTGCTATTGGCTGGTCAGGGATAGCTGAATGTAGATAGATGGGCAAGAGCTCTCCCCTGGCTCTGTGAATGATTAATGGCAGAACTAGAGCAGTGCTTGCCTAATCTCCTTCCTCTTCACCAGTTCTCATTCTCGATCATATGTTGCAATCATTTCTTCTTTTCCTCTGCCAACCATTTCCCCTAAGTGAGAAAGGTAATCTGAATTTAATGCCAGAATTCTTTTTTTCTTTTCATAAACAAAAGGGAGTTATGCAAGACACCCTCTAGGTAGCTTGAAGCCTCGACTGCTGCAGGATTTAGACAAGCCCACCAAAATGATCCAAAGGTCCAGAGGATTTCCGGGTGTTCCTGGTCCGGTAGTCTTGCCCTTCACTGGTCTCCATTCATCCCAAGGAGCAACAGAAAGCAAAAAATTTATCAAACAGAAATTGAGTTTCTGACATGTGCTGAGTTGCCTGGAACATACAAAGAGCTAAATAAACATACAACTACTATTTGTTGTGCGCTTGCGTGTGTGTGTACATGCATGCATACACGTATATATGTGCATGTTGGTACTAGGGCTTGAACTCATGGCCTAGGTACTATCCCTTAGCTTTTATTCTCAGGGCTGGTACTCTCACTTGAACCACAGCTCCATATCTGGCTTTTGGCTGGTTAGTTGGAGTCTCATGGGCTTTTCTGCTTGGGCTGGGTTTTGAACCTTGATCCACAGATGAGTAGCTATGATTACAGATGTGAGCTACTGGCACCAGCCTAAATATTAACAACTACTATCACAAACTACTACTATGCAAGGCACTAAAAGATCTCCAGAAATTGGTTTGCTCTTGAGTGCTGGTCAAATAAACACAATAAAGGGCCAGTAACCGTCAATACCACATAGATATCATGACTCTGATTGGGTTCCTAAGAAGGAATTTAAAACCTGACATCCAATCAAACTATTCACTATAAAGTTTCAGCTTTGTGTGCCCAAAAGATTATTGGCTTTCTGGCAGCATAACTTTCTTTCTGAAACAAACCCTGAAGGTTCCATGTGGGTTTAGAAAGAAAGGAGTTAACCAGAGCATACTGAATTCATTCCAGAAGTTTTGACAGCTGTGAAATTTTTAGGCTGGGCTTTAGGTGAGTGGTGGAAATTATTAGCTGAAACTGAGAAAGGTATTAGGGGTAAAGAACACATGGCTACATCCCAAAATGGAGAGACTGATTGGACAGGAGGAAGCTTAGAGGAGGACTCTCAGCTGTGCAGTCTCTTTGTGTGTGGGGGGTGGGGGGGTAGTGGGGCTTGAACTCTGGGCCTGAGCGCTGTCTCTGAGCTCTTCAGCTCAAGGCGAGCACCCTACCATTTGAGCCACCATGCCACACACTTATCTGAGATCCAAGCTAACTCATTCTCTGATGCTCACTGCACTTGTCTTTTTCTTCTTGTAAGTATAACAACACATAGACACACACACACACACACACACACACACACATACACATTTTACAACTACATCAACTACTATGAAGTTGCATTTCAGCCCAGTCAGAGACTTTCTGAAACCAATTTCTGAGCCAAGAAGAAATTTTATTCATAGTTTTGTTTCTGTTACTAATCTTCTCAACTATGATGTTGCTGTATCTTTGCCTTTAACTCTGCTTTCTTAATCTCCAGAGAATATTTTAGTTCGTCCACTGGTAAGCCACATTCCTTTAATCTTTTCAGAAAGCTCTTGATGGCACTGCAAAGGTCTTCACTCTCCTGAAAGGCCTGCTGCAGGAAGAAAAAAAAATGAATTTACAACTGGAAGAAGTCAGAAAGTGCGAGGTAGGTCTCTGAACCCTGGTAGAGCTCATAACCAAGGCGCTTCAGCCGAGATGTGGATCTTTTGGGAAGTACTGGGATTTGAACTGATGATTTGAGTTTGCATATGGGCTCATGCCTGTGAATCCTAGCTACTCAGAAGTCTGAGTTCTGAGGATCATGGGTTGCAGTCAGCAGGGCAGAAATGTTTCTGAGACTCTTACCTCCAATTACCCAGCAAAATGCCCCAAATGAAACTGTGGCTCAAATGGTAGAGCACAAACCTTGATTAAAAAATAAAATAAAAAAGCTAAGGGAAAACATAAGGCCCAGGGTTCAAGGACCAGTACTGGCACCAAAAGAAAATTCATAAATAGATAAATAATATAGAATGAAATTAAAAATAAACAATGAGGTCTTTAATACAATAAATCATGCACATTTTCTGATCCAAATGCACTTGCCTTCCATTATGAATTATTCCCCCAGTAATAAACGTAGACTAAAAGAAGAATCTCAAGGAAAAGCCTTTAATGAAGTCCAGAAGGAGTGTTCAGAACTTTTCGTGACAGTCAGTGCTTACAAATCTCAGACCCTGAATTCATGCACCTTGTTCCAAGAGGCAGATGAGATGCTGAGTTGTATGAGGTTTGCCAGGGTGGTGGTGAATGGAAATGTCAGGTGACGGTCCATAAAGCTCCTTTAGAGGAAAGCCAGCCCGGGCCACAAAACTGTCCTGAACTATGCAGCTGTTCGCCTGCAGGTGCACTCGATGGCTTTGTCATCTGGAGCTTTGCCCAGATGTGGAGTTGCAGCTGAGAACAGGACAGAAGCACTGTACTTACCAGAGCCTTCTCAAACGCAATCTGCTGGGCTGGTTTGGGGGCTTCTGGGATGGGCTCACAGGCCGGAACCTCGCCGCTCCACTCCCCTTCCAGGCAACGCAGCTCCCGGGGGCCCACCAAACGGTACCTGCGGGGGGAGTCAGAACCTGGCCAGGCCTTGCCACCCGCCACCCGGGGTAACTGAGGCTGCTGCGCGTAGTTCCACTCCAGTATCTGCCTCCCTGCCTCGGAAGCTAAAATACATGCTGAAATGATCTTAGTCTCACAAAGCAATGAAATTACCTTGCAAATGCTGGGAAATGGGGACGAATCCATGTGCAAAACACCGAGTGCTAAATTCAGAATCAACGTGTTTGCGCTCAGTTTTTGCAGGGGGAGGTAGAGGAGAGCCTTGTTTGATCATTCCATACCCTAAAAAGGCATCTGTCCTGTAAGCTCTCAGAAGCAGAAGAAAGTGAAAGATGTTCCCTCAAACAAATCATAGGCAACAGGGTAAAGAGGTAAAGAGGGTCGTTTCGAATCAGACAAATATGAGAATTGGTTGCAAAGTCTATTGGAAGTTTATAATGAGGCTGACCTATCTCTGACGCCATATGACTCCATGAGACCTCACGCAAGGGGAAGAAAAGGGTAGCTGATCCGTGATAAGAGCCACCAAGCAGTCTAAAGTTAGAGTTAATGGCTGAGCATCCTGGCACACACCTGTATGCCAGCAGCTAAAAAGCACTGCGGTTTGGGGCCAGCCCGGGCAAAAAGTAGCAAAACTCACATCTCAAAAAAAAACAACAACAACAAAACAACAAAAACAAAAGATGTGGTGTTACACACCTGTGATTCCAGCTGCATGGAAGACCAGGTGGTAGAATTGAGGTCCAAAGCTGACCCTGAGAAAAAAATAGCAGATCTTATCTAAAAAAAATAACTGAAGCCAGGTGCCAGTGGCTATAATCCTAGTTACTCAGGAGGCTGAGATCTGAGGATCACCATTCAAAGCCAGCCTGGGCAGGAGGAATCTGTGAGACTCATCTCTAATTAACCACCAGACAAAGAGAAGTATCACAGTGACTCAATGTGGTAGAGTGCTAGTCCTGAGCAAAAAGGCTCAGGGAAAAACAAAGGAGGAGGTAACAGTGCTTGATAGGAAATGCAGTCATTACCTTGCTCATGCAACTGTAACCCCTCTGTACAGTATTTTTACAATAAAAACGTATAATTAAAAAATAAAAAAGGCTCAGGGACAGGGCAAAAGCCCTGAGTTCAAGCCCCATGACCAATCAAAAAACAAAAAACAAAACAACCCTGAAATCAGACAAACAGAAATCAAGGGGTGAAGAGGAACTGCAGATAGAGCAGGGGCTCTACCACAAAACCCTGAGTTCAAACCCAACTACCATCCAAAAAAAATCAAAGGTTAGACTTTAAGTAGGACTCTGTAAGGATCTCTGCTCTAAATCTTTATATTTCTGACTGTCTATGTTTTGAGGTTTTAATTAAGTCCTTAGAAAATACATATTTTTAATACTTAAGTATTTTTTAGATTAAAGAAGTGATACCTTCACAAAGGAAAAATAGGTTTCTCTAGTAGGAGCCATATTTTCTAGGAATTGGAAAGAGCTAGCCATGGGCTAAAACAGCTCTCGAGGAAAGAGGAGGAGGAGGAGGAGGGAGAGGGGGAGGAGGAGAAGGGGGAGGGGGAGGAGGAAAAGGGGGAGGAGAAAAAGGGGGAGGGGAGGAGGAAGCAGAAAGAAATGAGTGGATTAGGGTGAAACACAGACTATATTATTCTCCAAGAGAATGTAGCCAAAGAGCAAGAGCTCATACTAGAAGGCCTGTGTGCACTTACCTCTCCTTACAGAAATAAGTAACAACAGATCCTGAGGTGAACTCTCCTTCAAAATAGCCATGTGCCAGTTTCCCAGGAGGGTCACAGTCTCCTGAGAGAAGGAAGTAGACAGGTGAGGAATTCACCTCTCTCAACTTAGACAAGGGCCAGTGAATGACTTAGCACCTCTGCCTTAGCTGTCTGCACCTGCATCTGCTGTCCTCGGAACAGTCCAACAGGGACCCGGGGACATCGCCTTCTCACCAAAAGCATCTTTGTCCACAGGAAAGATCTCCCCCCCCCCCCCCCCACACTGGTCTTCTGACTTAGCAGCAATTTAGGAATGTTTTCTGACAAAAATCAGAGGAAGGAACTATATGTTGATAGCCTACTAGGAAATAAACTTTAAAAAAAAAAATTAAAACCATAGGTTTTCAGGTTTTCTTTCAGTAACCTAATCATTTTGTTTGTTTTTTTGTTTTTTTTTGGGTCTGGTCTTGGGGCCTGAACTCTGGGCCTGGGCGCTGTCCCTCAGCTCTTCAGCTCAAGGCTAGCGCTCTACCACTTGAGCCACAGCGCCACTTCTGGCTTTTTTCTTTTTGCTTATGTGGTGCTGAGGAATCGAACCCAGGGCCTCTGGCATGCAAGGCCATGCGCTCTACCACTGAGCCACCTTCCCAGCCCCGGTAACCTAATCATTTTGATTTTGTATTTATGTATTTAAATCCATCTGGAGTATGTATTTTTTAACAGCATGTAGAGTTACAACTTTGTCTTTTTCCAAATGGGCTATTATCTCATTCCCACTAAAACAAGGGTTTCTCATGTATTTTAAATCATCTTTCCTCCTCTCCTGTCCATATTTACTATTTCAGTAGCATATTAGTTATAGTACCTGTTATTTACCATGCTAACACTATCTTGTATATAATATATATAATTTTATAGTGGACAAATTATGAGTTTTTCTGGTTTCTTATATTTTTCAAATGAAATTTTTGTCATTATTTTGAAATACAATCATAGCATTATAACAACATTGTTGTATATTTTACAATTTATTAAAGTAGTTCTATTTTTTAACCAAATATAAACATTAGTTATCTCTTTCTTTTAAAAAGTGAATTTGTAACATTAACTATGTATCTTTTCAAGTGAGATTGTATTATCTTTTTGCCTTATATATCTCCAGGGGATCACATTTTAATATTAAGTCTGCCTACCCAGGATCACAGTATATATTTTCTTTTACTCAAGTCTTACTTAATGTCTTTCAGTAAATTTTCATATACATTACATAGGTGTTGTACAGTCTGCCATGCAGGCCCGGTGCAGACACCCCCCTACCTCTTGGTTAAGTTTCTGCCCAGTATCTGTGTCACCTAGGTAACTGGCACACCTGGAAGCAGTCACCTTCCCCTCCTGCTAGGTTGCATCTTGGGCTGCCCCTGGTCACATGCCTCCAATCTGACCTGATTTCAAGCCCCAGAATTGCGAAAGAAAGAAAAGGAAGAAAGAAAGGCCAGAGAAAGAAAGAGAGAAAAACAGAATGATGAGATATGGGCATATAAAACATTCATTTAAGCATTGTTTGCTATAGCTAAAAAAAGGTAAAAATAAAAATAAATGTCCATCAATATAAGAAATGCATAAATAAATTATAGTATAACTATATGCAGTTATTTAAAAACCAAGATGTAAAGCTATATTGTCACTGGAAAAATTTCTATATATGGAATACATTTACAGGTATTTAAGAGTATGTATAGCAAGATCTCATTTTTATAGGTATATAATTATGTATGTATACATATATACATATATATATATATATGCATGTATAACCATGCACATAAAAACTTCATGTTTAATTTAACACATTTTACTTGAGTGTTTGCTTTAAATATGTGCATAAATATAAGAAAAATCCATGAAATAAGCACATCTTAGCTGAGTGCCTCTGAGAGGTATGAACTGTAGTGATTCAAAGGGAATTGCACTTCTACTTGTATATAACTTTGCAGTGGACAAGAGAAAATCATCAGGTCTTTTTTTTGTGCTTTTATCTGCTTTCAAATGAAAACTTTTTTGTCACCTTCTTGTAATAAAAACATAAATAGTCAAGAAAAGGTGAATGAGAGTGAAAGTAATTTATATGCATATAGGAAAAACGGAGCCATGAAACTCACTGAAGAAGGAAGGAGAAGGCATAAGGGAGAATAAGAAAGTGGTGAGGCCGATGAGGTACACTGTCTGCATATATGGAAATGTCACAATGAAACTCCCCTTATACAGCTAGTGTATGCTAATAAAAGATCCTAATAAAAACGCAATAGTCAATGCCCCTGCTACCTTACATGGGACCTAACAGAACAGCAACCCTACTTGCGCTCAGATACTGTTCATTTTCTTGGAATATATCACTTGAGCGGAGGTTTACTTCTGTGAGCTCCTTTTGTCTCTTGGTTGTCTGTTAGAGCCTAAGATTTTCCTGGAAGATATGGTGCTGGCATTTGGGGGATGTCGATGACGCCATCGTCGGTATCTTTGGGCATCTCCAGTACTTACTACTTTTGCAGATGGGGAGGGGAGGCCCCCAGGTGTGGTCCCCTAGGCACTCGCTCCAGTTGCTGCCCTTGAGGATGTAGTGCTCATTGCACTTGAACGTGACTTTGTCTCTTACATTCACCAGCCCTGAAGAATTGAATTCACCATTTGCCAGCACAGGATCAGGACAGTGGCCCACTGGAGAAAAGCAGAAAATTCATGAGAAAGGACTGGGCTGTAGCCTATCATAGCCAAAGCCAGGCTTTCTCTCTTCAGAGGGAAAATAGTAAATCAGAGCCTAAGGCTGCACATTTTTAAAAGGTAACGGTAAATGGCACCTAGTCATATCAATGCAGGATGAGAACAGACCATCATGGCCTTGATCACCCATAAGAATGATTTGATTGGCAACTGAATTTACATAAATGTAACTAAGCACAGAACTAGAAATTACCAATAGTTTGGCCATTGTTATGTTAAATGTTGCTCTAAAAATTCTTGAACCTAAATGTTGTCTAAGTCTTTCTCTTTCATCCAGCTAAATTAATATTACTCCTCACTTTTTTAAAAATTCTCTTCTGTGAAAAAATAGGAAAGAATGCAGAAGGATATGATGGTTTTTCAAATGAAGAAGATTAAATATATTAATGTAATTGTGTGGAAATATAACAATAAAATTCCCTCTCCCCTGTATGATGAATGTAGGTTAATTTTGACAAAAAAACTAAAGATTGGTGTAAGTCTATAAAGAATAAATGTAATTAATTTTACAAAGAGTTAATAATAAAGAAGACATGAATTAATTATTCTCCACCCTACCACCATCAGTTTTGTGACCTTGGGATGCCAGGTGGATCTCAATTCCCTTATTTGTAAATTGACAACATAAAACTTTCCCAGAAGTTACATGAAATGAGACACATTTAACATGAGACAAAATGACTTCCTTTACATTAGTAAAGATAGAGATGAAATCATTTACCAGGTATAGTTAACTGGCAAAGGAGTGAGATGAACATAAATGTTTCCTTGACTTTTTTGAGTTTTGTGTGTATTTAAAGTGTTCAGTAATGTAGGAACTTGTTTGAAGTTCACTGTATCAGAATAATAGTGAAATCCCCTCAGATCACCAATGTATGTTAATTCAAAAATAAAGTTTAAAAAAGAGTGTTTAAGCAGTGTGAGAGTAAATAAATTACAGCAAAACAAGTCGTTTTAGTGAAGTGCCCAGTTTTCTGACGCCCCCCTCCCAGACCACCAGAGACCATGATCAATGCAAATGGCAAAGAGTCTTTTATTGCAAGCTCAAGCTTGGTCCTCTGCGCACTCGGTAACTGGTGACACGAAGAGGCCCCGAGCACAAAATTAGCACAACTTTTATAGTATCAAACAAACAAGTTTAGGGGGTTTCCACACAAGCAAGTTCACAAGTTCAGCAAGTTCACAAGTTCAGGGGGTTTAAGTCCACCCTGGCCGCACTTCACTTTTTCTGATGGAACACTTAGGCAACTGTTCTGTTCCTTCAGGGTGGGCAGGGTTGGTGGCAACCTGCGGTTTTTCCAAGAACTATTTTTCTCTTTGGGGGTTACTCTGAGGGCAGCACAGCTCAGGGGGTTTGATCTTAAAATGGAGTTACTTTAGCTCTTCAATATATAGAAAAACATTCTTTTTGAAGAGTGAGGGAATGGCTCAGTGGGATAGTATCATGCACAGAGCTCTGTGTTCAATCCCAGCCCTAAAACGTAAAAATTCAAAAGACTTCCCTTTTCACAGAAGTAAAGAATTATATTCGTGCAACTAAATTAATACTGGTTGAGAACTGATCTTATACCTTCCAAGAGAAGCTTAACCACTACACTGGTTTAAAATTGACACTGCACACATATAACCCCAGCTCTGAGGAGGCCGAGACAGAAGGCATGTGAGGTCAAGATCAGCCTGGATTACAGTTCAAGCTCCTATCTCAAAAGAGAACAAAATGGGGGTGGGGGAGAATGCAGTCAAATCATTTGCACTTGCTGGAATAAGGATGGACTGGACCCCATCATGTGGAATAAAATAAGCCAGTTCCTCCAGACAGCTATCCCATTTTTTTTCTCTCATTTATGGATGCTAGAGGGAAACAAAACAAAACCACCAACCCATGAAAAGTGGGAGGAGAAGGGAGAAGGAAGTGAGAAGAGCATAAGAAACAGTAATAGAGGAAGTGAATATAATCAATGTAATTATATGACTATATTATGTTGAAATCCTGTATTATGTACAATTTAACATATATCAATAGAAAAAAGCCCATTAAAAGTATATTTCTAGACATTCACTAAATATTAACATGGTCCGCAGAAAGGAGGCTATAAAAGAATATAGAGGTATGCCAATTTGGGGGGAAAAGCATGAAGATCTGACTTACAGTGGCATTCAGGGGTGAAGGCATCCCACTCTTCTGAGTTGTTGCACCAAAAAGTTTTTTGTCCTACCAGGTGGTAGCCCTCAGTACAAAGGTAAGTCCCCCAAATCTGTCCTTCTTCCTCCTTTGCAATAAAGATGCTATTGTCCACTGGAGGAAGTTCTGGACAGCTCATTTCTGGAAGGGAAAGAGAAGAGATTCGTTTGGCACAGAGCTGGCTGCAAGAAAGCTTCAGTTAGTTAGATTCCACATTCTGGTATCCTTTTGCTGGATTATGGATTCTGATTTCTTGTACTCTTCCCAGTCCCTGTGCATCTATGTCCTACTCTTTTCAAGGATTCCCACTTTATATCCCAAGAAATGACAGGAGGTTTGCTCAAATTTTGTGCAGTGTTTGAGCTCATAATAGGTATAAACTCATAATCACAAGTTTGATATTGAATCTTCTAGTATGTACAAAACATGATGTGGAGTGATCTGAGATGTCCAGTAAATGAAATAACCATCATAATGTCTCATTTATTAGAACCCCACACAGAATGATGCCTCATACTCACAAAGTGAAACCAAATACCGCATGAGCTGAGTTTAAGGAAATTATACATACCACCAGAGGCAGAAATCAGCCACATAATCATAAGACAAGACCCAATCCTACAAAACATCAAGTGATCAAACATCAGGACTCAGGACTGAAAGTAACCTAGTCCCAGACACCTAGTTTTCACCAAAATAGATCTTCCAACACGACTTGAGACTAAACACTTCCCTCCTAGAGAAGAGGTTATATTTGATTCTTTTCCCTGGGGAGGGTGATGCCAAAAAAGAAAAATATATCCTGCAACAGGAAGGAACTTAGCGTAGGCTGTGACTGAAAAGAGAGAGTTAAAAGAACGGCCAGTTTTAAAGCTCAGTTTCAGATATTTCCTAATTTCTGGGAATGCAAAACCAGCTCACCAAGCCCTTTTAACTGCAGGTTTATCTTTTCTTTTACACAGACAAGGCAAATGGTTTTTGCCATGACCTTGAGTTCTGTCAATATTTGTCAGTGTTTACAGTCCATCAGTAACTCTCTCCAGCACTTGGGTTAGATAGAGGACCAGGCACCAATCAGTGGTGCTTTCCCAAGTAAGCCTCAGCTCCAAGGGCTACCTCCTCCACACTTCCTCACCCTGAGATATCCCAAGCTTGGAAACCGCACTGAAGATGGGTGAGGCCTGGAAGGTGAAGGAAGTAAGCTAACCCCACCTGCCCCTGTCCTCCAGATCCATGGCTTCCTAGCAAGGAGCTGGTCTTGATTCCAAACCTGAGCATTCCAAAGTCCTTCGGTGACCCCTTCACCACTTGCCAGGAATATGCCAGCCTTCCCGATCCATCACTCCTCCTCAGGCAGGCTCTGGCCTGAGCCCATAGTTAACCAAGTGGACGGGAAAAAAAGAGAGAGAGAGAGAGAGGTGAGGAGATTGCTTTGGAGTCAGGATTTATAGTGTGTCAAATGCGTTGGAGGCAGGGTGAGGGGATGTGTCTTAAAGCTCTGTTCCTCTTACAGCACTTGATTGGTTCTCCGTGCTCAAATGATAAAAAAATTGGGATCGAATTCCTGATAAGTTTTAAGTGTTGATAAAATAATAAAGTCTATTAAGGACAATAGTAAACCTCTCAAATATTATTCTTTCATCCTTTGGCTTATGTCTTTTTCCCAAAAGAGATCAGAATATGTCATCTCTGCTCTAGGATAAAGATTGTATGAGCTGAAGACATCTCCAGTTCAACAGATGCCAGAGGAGAACAGCTTTCTTGTAGCTGGCTTGCTGATTGGGCTAAAAGGAGCAAGCTCTGGGAATTTAGGTAGGCATAAGTTCCTTTAAAGGCAGATCTACAACCAGAAGGTAGAACACTAACAAAAACATATCCCAAATTCCTTCTCCAGAGGAGTTTTTACACCATGGAGGGAGACAGATGGACAGACAGACAGACAATTAGTTGGATCCCACATGAGCACCTTAGGCTGCTGCAGCTGAGAGCAAGGCAATGATGGAAACAAGACTTATAAAGTACATTTGGAACACCAACGGGCCTTGCCTCTCGCCAGCAACAGATACCCCAAGGGCCCGCTAACGAGGTCTTTATTATCAGACGGGGAGTATGTGCAGAAAATAAGGTAGCAATCTCTTTGAAGATACAGACACCAGAATGTGAAACAATCCTAGGATGCCTGACTTCCTTAGCGAAGGAAGCTGAGGCAAGCAGCAAACAATGCAATTTGTACAAGCCTTTTCTCTCTAACTCCAAGGTCCAAGAAAGTCTTGGGTCTCTGTAATGCTAGGAGCGATTGATCTTTCTCTGGCTGCTCCCAGGTTTCTGAGAGTCGGAGAATGGCATTCCAATTCTCTGTTATCAGAGCTCCTGCCTCAGCATTCACAGATTTCCACACTGCTCGTATCTATATGAGCAATTATTAGATCATCTCTTATTTCCTATACCTCCTCCTGAAAACACACTGTCTTCCAAAGAGAGCTGGCATCTATAAGAACATTTCCTTTCCATCACCTCTTCCAGCCCAATTCCTGTTTGAAAATTGTCTTCACATAGTTGTAACAAAAAGGTTTCAACTTAACATGCCAACTTACATGTACATTTTTTTTTTATTGTAGAGGTGATGTACAGAGGGGTTACTGTTACATAAGTCAGGTAATGAGTACATTTCTTTTTGAACAGTGTCACTCTCCCTCCCAACCTCCCTTGCTCCTAAGGTGTATAATTCATTTACAACATAGTGTCTAGTGTCACTGCTGAATTAGTTAACCCTTTGTCTTCTTGTTTCTGTGCTTCTCTTTCTCCTCCCCAAATCAGATAAACTTTTATACAAGACAAAAGGTGCAGAAATAAAAACCAGCGACAAAAAGAAAAAGAAAACTGCAAACAGTACAATTTCAAAAAAAAACTATTGTTTCCATTTTTTGGAGTTCATTTTGGTAAGCATCACTTTACATGAGCATATGCACATAACTATTGAGCCCTTATATAACACATCTTGACCCGTTGCCCCATCATTCAGCCCCTCCCATCTGTCCCATTCCCACTCATCTCATTTCCTAGCTCAGTTCTCACATACGCACATTGAGTACCATGACCACACTGTCCCACAATTCCACATTTCATCCATCATCCCCTTTCCTCTGAGCCTCCTGTAGTCAAGATAGCTTTAGCTTCCTGGCATTCTTTTTGTAGAACTATTGATTGTCCAAAGAGGGGTTATACCATGAACTCTCACTCCTGAATATTCCATCTTTAGTCAGTTTTAATCAGGTGGATATGCTTATGGCCTTGTACGTGTTTTCAAATATCTTTGTATTTTAGGTCTAATTTCCACATATGAGAGAAAACATGCACCCTTTGTATCTCTGAGCCTGGCTTACTTTGATCAATATCATTCCCATGCCCCCTCATCTCCTCCCTCTATCCATTTTCCCTGCAAATGATATCATATTCTTCCTTGATCCATTTGGACCACATATTGATCCATTCATTGGTCATAGGGAATATGGGCTGCCCCCATAACTTGCCTATGGTGAACAGTGCTGCAATGGAATGGATGTGCAGCTGCCTTTACTGTATCCTGATTTGTAATCTTTCAGATAAATGTCCAAGAGTGGATCACTGGATTTTAGAGTAGTTCTAGCTTTACCTTTTAAAGTGATCGCCATAGGGATTGCACTAATTTACCTTTCCACCAATAGTGTATCATGATTCTTTCCCCCTCCCATGGAAGTGTCTGTTGTTCATATTCTTGATAATGGCCATTCTGACTAGAATGACAAGAAATCTCAACATTGTTTTGGTTTGCACTTCCTTCATTGCTAGGGATTTTTTTTGTCAGTCATGGGGCTTGGACTCAGGGCCTGAGTGCTATCCCTAAGCTCTTTTGCTTAAGGCTAACATTCTACCACTTTAAACCATGGTGCCACTTCTGGTTAACTGGAGATAAGAGTCTCATGAACTTTCTTGCCTGGGCCGGCTTTGAACCACAATCCTCAGCTCTCAGCCTCCTTACAGGTGTAAGCCACCAGCACCTGGCTTGCCAGGGATTTGAATAAACCCATACATCTATAACCATTTGATTTTGACCAAAAAAAAAACAAAAACATTTTAGGGGAGAAAAACAGCCTCTTCAGCAAATGGTGCTGGGAAAACCGGAAATCTGAAACTGGATTCCTGCTACCTTATATTAATATCAATTCAAAGTGGATCAAGGACGTAAGATATGCAACCTTGAAATGTCTACATGAGGAAGGAAAACACTAGAATTACTAATATAAGCAGTAACCTTCTGAATGGAATTCCAGGGGCTCAGCAAGTGGGGAAAGAGAATTGACAGATGAGATTGCATCAATCTAAAGAGTTTCTGCATAGCAAGGACATAGTCACTAAGCTAAAAAGACAGCCTTCAGAGTGGGAGATCTTTGACAGCCATATATCCAACAAGGGTCTAATAACAGTAAATACAGGAAACTTAACTACGCCTCCAAAAATAATAACCCAGTTAATAAATGGGCAAAAGAGCCAAATAGACACTTCTTAGTTCAAAAGGCCAATAAATACAAACCCAATCGTAACTGCGGTTTTGAATTCTTTATCACTCAAGTTCTCCCACACATATTTGGCTTTGATGCATAATAAAACTCTATTTTTTCTTCTATTAATCTATATATTGTTCAATTCTAGGTGCCAGCTTCTAAATCTAAGCGGACAGAGGAAAGCTTTCCTCCTCTCCTTTGCTCCAGCACTAAACTGCTAACAACTTCAAGGGTTTATACCTTGTTTGTATTTGTATTATCTTCCTCTGTGCCCTATACCACCTAACAGACCTTTATGGGAGTGAAACAGAGATTACAAAGTTCAAATCAGATTTTCCTGTCAAATATATCCAAAGCTTTTCAACTTTCAGAATTTCAGAAAAAAAATTTATAGGTGCTACTTGATTATGTTCATTTTTCTAACATGTCAATGGAGAGCAATAAGGAAAGGGATGCAGTTGATGTGGTTCCTGGATTTGGTCATGTGGGAACCATCACTCAGTAATGAAAAGACAGATTAATGCCTAACTCTTGGATTCCTACCCTGAGGTCCAGGGATGGGTTTCATGTAATGAATGATCTGTATGCAAAACTTATGTGTGCCTAAGGTTTCCTGGAAAGAGTCCTTAGCTTATCAACTTCTCAGATGAATAATCGCAGGTGTTCAAGAGCATGAATGTAAGCCAGGCACCGGAGGCTCACGCCTGTAATCTTAGCTACTCGGAGGCTGAGATGTGAGGATCTTGGTTCAAAGCCAGCCTGGGCAGAAAAGTCTGTGAGACTCTTATCTTCCATTAATCACCAGAAAATAGGAAGTGGCGCTGTGGCTCAAGTGGTAGAGCGCTAGCCTTGAGCTGAAGAGCTGAGGGACAGCGCTCAGGCCCAGAGTTCAAGCCCAATGACACACACACACACACACACACACACACACAGCTTTATAGTAGAGTTTGAAATTTGGTACTGATATTCCTCCAGCACTGTTCTTTCTGCTAAGGATTGTTTTTGCTATTCGGGGTCTTTTATTGTTCCATATGAATTTTGAGGTTGCTTCTTTATTTCATTCAAGAATGAGGTTGGGTTGGGGATGGGAAGGTGATTCAGTGGTAGAGTGCTTGCCTTGCATGCATGAGGCCCTGGGTTGGATTCCTCAGCACCACATTAGCAGAAAAGGCCGGAAGTGGTGCTGTGGCTCAAGTGCTAGGGAGCTAGCCTTGAGCTGAAGAGCTGAGGGACAGCGCCCAGGCTGAGTTCAAACCCCAAACCAACCAAAAATAAAAAGAACGAGGTTGGGATATTGATAGGTATCTCATTGTATTTAATGATAGCCTTTGGCAGTATTGCCATTTTCACAGTGTTAATCCTCCCAATCCAGGAGGTTTGTTTTTTCCACTTCCTTAGTTCTGATTTAATTTCCTTTTTCAGGTTTTTAAAGTTTTCATCATAGAGATCCTTCACTTCTTTAGTTAACTCCTAGGTATTTTATTTTTGTGGGGCTATTACAAATGGAGTTGCCTTCCTGATTTTAGCCATTCTCTTCTCATTTTTGGCATACAGAAAAACCACTGATTTTTTTTTTGGGGGGGGCCTGGTTGTGGGGCCTGAACTCTGGGCCTGGGTACTGTCCCTCAGCTCTTCAGCTCAAGGCTAGCGCTCTACCACTTGAGCCACAGTGCCACTTCCAGCTTTTTTCTTTTTGTTTATTTGGGGCTGAGGAATCGAACCCAGGGCCTCATGCATGCAAGGCAAGCGCTCTACCACTGAGCCACCTTCCCAGCCTCCAAACCATTGATTTTGAGGGTTAATTTTATACCCTGCTACTTTGTCAAAGTTTCGGATCAGCTCAAATACTTTAGGAGTGGAGCCCACGGAATTCTTTAAATACAAGATCATGCCATCTGCAGAGAGGGAGAGTTTTACTTCATCTTTACTTATTTGGATTCCCTTTTATGCTTGCATCTGTCTTATTGCTGTAGCTAGGCATTCTAATACTAAATTGAAGAGAAGTGGAGAGAGGGGACATCCTTGTCTCATTCCTGAGTTTAGAGGAAATGGCTTTAGCTTTTTGCTAAATGTTGGCTGTAGGTTTGTCAAACTTATGTGTTTATTCTTAATATACTATTTTTATAAGTTTGCCTGGGCTTGCCTCAGTTTCTCATTCCTCCTGCCTTTTCCTCCAAGTAGGCCAATGAGTTTTGTCAAGCTCATGGCAAGCTAGGTGGCTGAAGTTTGACCCTCCTCACCAGTGAGCCCTAAGAGATTTAAGAAATAGTGTAGTAACTAAAGCTATGGAAGAAAAGCACATTAAGACCATCACATTAAGAGCAGAACATACTTTGAAGTCATTTCCTGACTTGATGTCTTTTGTTAAGTTACTAACTATATTAAAAAAATAATATGGTATGTGTTGCTTGGTTCTCATGGTTGGGAATCTGCTAACCAATTTACTTGCTCTGAGGCTGTGGCTTTGACAATTCATTTGGTTCATCTATCTATAAAACAAAGAAAATGACTTCAGATACTCCTAGCTTTACAATGGATAGTCTGATGCTGGCTTTGTACTCACAAAAGTGTCCAGAAAGGCATGACACTGATCAAGACATATTGTACACAGACATTGAAGTGGTGAATTGAAATTCCTTTACACAACTACTTAAAGATTATAAAATGCATAAACAAATAAATGTTACTGAAGATCTTTCTAAGGGAATTATACCCTTGATAACACACCTTTATTAATGTTAGTCTTCTGGCTGTACTATTAAAGCACTAGGTATTTATTAATCAATACTGATAACTTGTCTCTCTCTCTTCTATTTTAATACTGATAACTTCTCATCAATCCTTTTGATTCTATCAGAAGAACCCTTCAACTTCAGAGAATTTGGAAATGTCCAAGAGGTACTGTGGACATTTTATCTCTGTTGTTATTAACTCCAAGAAAAATCTTCCAGTTTCTTCATCATATATATTTACAAAAATACTATCTAATAAAGGTTTGGTTCAAGATCCTTAATAGGGAGAAAAGTACCCCCAAGGGGAAGAATGGGCTATATTCCTACTGTTAACCTTCTCCTTTCCAATAATAAACTCTAGAAAAAGGGGAGAGATTTGGGTGGCCTCCTAACTAATAAGCAATCATTACATGATTGTATATAAATAAATAAATGGCTAGAATATCAATAATGAATAACACTGAAATGTTAGGGCAACTTGATAGTCATCAAATAAAAACACTACTATACCTGGAAATGTATTTGCTAATAATTGGAAAATCATTTAAAGGAGCTCTTTTCAAACACATTGTGGATAATGTCATTTATATTTTATGCATATATAATCAAAGATTACAAAGTGTTATTTTCTTTTGTGTGTGACTTCAAAATGAATTGCTTCCTTTAATTAAAAATAACCTTTATTGTATTTTCTCATTATAAAAGCAATACAGGTTACTGACATATTTTAACATGATTTTATTTATCCAGGAGATGACTGCTTCTCCAGAAACATATCTTTTGGTTTATATAATAAAACTCAATGAGAAAAATAATATTCAAACAAAAAGAGATCCACTGGACCACACAGTATGGTCTTATCTTTTACAGAACATTCATATTCTGGAAAGTTAACTTAGGGTATATAAATATCATACTTAAAAATTCAAGTCACCTAGATTTCTGACCAAAAACACAGACAACATAAATTACATTACATTCTGATTAAATACATGCAAATGCTAATACAAGAACTTGAAAATGCCTTACATAGAATAAATAGCCAAATAAAAATATTCTCTGATCATCATCAGAAGACAGGGTCTGTAGATGCAGAAAGAGGTCTGCACCATGAGAGGAGCAAAATCATTACAGTACAGCATGCTACAAGCAGCTGATGAAGCCCCCTGCTTCAGAACAGAGGAAAGAGCCTTCCAGAAGGCAGCTTGTGCGTACAAAATAAGCTCCAAGTTGCTGGATGCTGAACTGCCTGCAGCCCAGCTCACTGCATCTTAGGTAACAGTCTTTGTACCATCCACAGTAAAAAAGAACCATTTGGTAAATAAAAACCACATACATTCCATTACTTTTCTTGCTACTTATTCTTTGGCCCAGCAAGTGAGCATTCTCAGTGAAAAGGGAAGAATATTCAAAGCTAAAAACATACTATTCGTAAAAAAAATAGTCCTCATTTGTAAGATACAATAGACTTTGGGGAGTTTGCATTCTTCCTTGGAAGTAATAACATACTAAAATCACATTGACAGAGACGTGTTTGTACATTTGACACTCACAGATCTAGGGAGTAGAAATGTGACTCATCTGTAAGAGAAACTAGTTAACTAATGCACTGAGGTCTCGCTTCTCCCTAGCTTCTTCAAAGTGAACATGCAAGCTCAGCTGATCATGGCTGTGACTGCTGTTTATTTACCTCAATAGTGATAACTAGCTCTCAAAGTCTCTGCCCTCCCCTAGCTTTCATAAAGACTACAACACAACACCCATTTTTTAAAGCGGGGTGGGGGAGGGGAAAACTCAGAGCCTGGGTGCTCTCCTTTAGCTTTTTTTGCTCAAGGTGATTATTTACTACTTGAGTCACAGCTCCACTTCTGACTTTATTTTTTCCCCTGGGTAATTGGAGATAAAAGTCTGTTACAGACTTTCCTGCCTTGGCTGGCTTCAATACATGATCCTCTCAATTTCAGCCTCCTGAGTAGCTAGGGTTATAGGCATGAGCCACCAGCACCTGACAACACTCAGGCTAATTTCTTTGTGGGATAACAATGACACCCTACACTAGCTTGCATCTTTCTCTATCTCCATCTATCTCTCATCACCCACAGAACGGAACCAGTCCTCTTCATCCTCTTCATGTAGAAACCACAACAGCTACCAAAGGTGGGGGAGGGGGGAAAGAACTGAACTATGGGTACCCTTTAGGGGACACTGCTCCAATGAGAAGCTGTCCTGAAAAGCTTGGAAAGAGGAAAACTTCTCTAAGTGAAAAATACACTGTGGCCACTGCTCCTCTCATCACCACAGCAGAGGTACTGTAGGGATGGGAGAGGTACTGTAGGGATGGGATTTCTCAGATATCCTTCCTTCCCCTGACGATTCATCTCATTTCCAGTGTTAAGGTACACAGGTTCTAGACTCTAGCCTGCTCATTTGCAATAGATGCAAAGACTTCCTGGAGTTAATTCCTCTCACCTAGAAATCCATTTTGAAGAGATGTGTTACACTTTAGGTAAAAAAAAAAAAAAAAGCCAGTTAGGGGCACACATAATTCATAGGTAGAATATTAAATTCTTTTTTCCCAGTCTTGGGGCTTGAACTCAAGGCCTAGGTGCTGTCCCTGAGCTCTTTTGCTCAAGGCTAGCACTCTACCACTTTGAGTCACAGCTCAAAGAAAACTTCCAGTTTTCTTGGTGGTTAATTGGAGATAAGAGTCTTATGGGGGGGCTGGGAAGGTGGCTCAGTGGTAGACTGCTTGCCTTGCATGCATCAGGCCCTGGGTTCGATTCCTCAGCACCACATAAGCCAAAAAAAAAAAAAAAAGTTGGAAGTGGCGCTGTGGCTCAAGTGATAAGAGTGCTAGCCTTGAGCTGAAGAGCTGAGGGACAGTGTCCAGGCCCAGAGTTCAGGCCCCACGACCGGACTCACCCCCCCCCAAAAAAAAAGAGTCTCATGGGGACTTTCCAGCCCAGGCTGGCTTCGAACTGTGATCCTCAGATCTCAGCCTC